TCCTAATTTCAAAAATTCCTACAAGGCTCTAGTAATCAGAGCAATGTGGTACTAGAAAAGATGCCACTATTCACAATAGCCAAGTTATGGAAACAGCCAAGATGCCCCACCACTGACGAACGGATTAAGAAAATGTGGTATCTATACACAATGGAATTCTATGCAGCCATGAAGAAGAACGAAATGTTATCATTCGCTGGTAAATGGATGGAATTGGAGAACATCATTCTGAGTGAGGTTAGCCTGGCCCAAAAGACCAAAAATCGTATGTTCTCCCTCATATGTGGACATTAGATCAAGGGCAAACACAACAAGGGGATTGGACTATGAGCACATGATAAAAGCGAGAGCACACAAGGGAGGGGTGAGGATAGGTAAGACACCTAAAAAACTAGCTAGCATTTGTTGCCCTTAACGCAGAGAAACTAAAGCAGATACCTTAAAGCAACTGAGGCCAATAGGAAAAGGGGACCAGGAACTAGAGAAAAGGTGAGATCAAAAAGAATTAACCTAGAAGGTAACACCCACGCACAGGAAATCAATGTGAGTCAATGCCCTGTGTAGCTATCCTTACCTCAACCAGCAAAAACCCTTGTTCCTTCCTATTATTGCTTATACTCTCTCTCCAACAAAATTAGAAATAAGGGCAAAATAGTTTCTGCTGGGTATTGAGGGGAGGGGGAGAGGGAGGGGGCGGAGGTGGGTGGTAAGGGTGGGGGCAGGGGGGAGAAGTGACCCAAGCCTTGTATGCACATATGAATAATAAAAGAAAAATGAAAATAAATAAATAAAAGTTTTTACTAGAATAAAAAAAGAAAAGAAAAGAAAAGATGCCAACCAAAATCACAATGGTAGCTGGAGATGTGGCCGTGTGGCTCAGTGGCCCAGTGCTAGCCTTGCATGTGCAAGTCTGCACTTCCATCCCAGGCACCACCCCAGGCACCATGAAAAACAAAGAAGAAGCCACAACAGGACGCCTCTTCACACCCAGTAAGACAGGTATAAGACATAACCAGAAAATAACAAGTGTTGCCACAGCAAGTGCTGGTGGTAATGTAACATGGTACAAACGCTGTGTAACAGTGTCCAAGAATTACCACCCAGCGATTCCATTTTTAGGTATGTCTCAAAAGAATTGAAAGCAGAGACTCAGATACTTGGACACTGATACAAATAGAATTATTCACAAAAGCCAAATAACCAGATGCCCACAAACTGATAAATGGATACTATGTGGTATTTCATACAATGAAATATTTGACAATAAAAAGAAACTCAGGGGCTGGCAGAGTGCCTCAAGTGGTAGAGCACCTGTGTAGCAAGTATGAGGGCCTCTGTTCAAGTCCCAGTAGTGCCAAAAAAAAAAAAAAAAGAAGGGAATTTAACACACGGACCAACCTTGAACACACTATAAATGAATGAAAGAAGCCAGACACAAAAGGTCATGTGTGTGTGGTTTCATTTACATGAAATGCCCAGAATAGTCAAATCAATAGAGACAGAAAGTAGATTAATGGTTGCCAGGGAGGTTTTGGGGGAGAAATGGGGCAGTGACTGCTAAAGGGTATAGGATTTCTTTTTAAGGTAATGAAAATAGTGGTACTGGTTACACAAGTTTGTAAGTATACTTTAAAATAAAAGGAATGACTTGTCCACTTTGAAAAAATACAAATGCATAGTATGTGAGTTTTATATCAATAAAACTGCTTTTATTTATTTATTTGTTTGTTTGTTTGTTTAATTATTTACTTTGCAGTGCTGGGGTTTGAACTCAGGGCTTTGGGCTTGCTAGGCAGTCCTCCTACACCTTGAGCCATGCCTCCAGCCCCAAAGCTGTAATTTTTTAAGTGCTTGTGTATCTGGAACTCCAAGCTAGGGTAGAGATTTGTGAGTTCTTCCCTTGGGAGGCACAGACCTCTACGAATCTAGAAGAGGCTACAGGGAGCCCTGGTAAGAGGAAATTATAGGGAAAGTGCTGGGCTGGGGATGTAGCTCAGTGGTAGAGACCTACCCTAGCTTGTGCAAAGCCTTGCATTCAATTCCCAGTACCATTTCTCAGTGGGGTCCTTCATTCTCACAAGGTGCGGAGGCCATAAAGTGAGCATGAGTGAGATCACTTTGGAAGAGACTAGGAGAAACGCCCTAAATATGGCAGAGCAAGTGTGTTTAAGGATTTTGGGAGGTCCTGGAAGCTACCTGGGTTTTCAGGACAAAAGTTTCGTCTGCTAGGGTACAAGTAGGCTGCAGCCTGGTGAAAACTCTCCTGGCTGCGCCTCGGCATCCTTCTCCCAGAAGCACAGTCAGTGTGGGCTGTGATGGCTCACACTTGTAATCCTAGAGACTCAGGAGGCAGAGATCATCAGGAGGATCGCGGTTCAAAGACAGTCCAGGCAAATAGTTCGTGAGACCCTATCTCAAAAAAATCCATCACAAAAAAAGGGCTGCAGTGGCTCAAGGTGTAGGCCCTGAGTTCAAGCCCCAGTACCGCCAAAAAAAAAAAAAAGAAGCACAGTCAGGAGGAGCAACTAATAGTTCTCACTACTTTCCATATATATATATTATTATATTTTTTTTCTTTTGGCGGTACTGGGGGTTTGAACTCAAGGCCTCGTGCTTGTTAAGCAGGCACTCAACCACTTCAGCCACTTCACCAGTCCTTTGTGCTGGTTATTTTTGAGATAGGGTCTCGCCGGGCTGGCCTCAAACTACAATTCTCTTCATCTCTGCCTCCCAAGTAGCTAGGATTACAGGCGTGAGCTCCCTATATTTTTATTCAATCCTTTTGTTCTTCCTTCATCTTAAAGTATAGCTCCTTTTAAACCATTCCATCTCCAATTGTAGCAAGGAGGAATGGAGAAAGTGAAGGTTTCTGCCCAAACTTCTGTAGGAGCTTTGAAGGGAGCCGGATCCCCAGGGAGCTGAGCCCAGGGGCCAGCTGGCCTTCGGTGGCCCTCCTGTGGCCAGCCACCTGGCTGAAGGCAAGTCCCTTGTGTGAGAGTAGGGCTCTCACTGTGCTTGCTAAGCTGAAGCTCTGTGGCTTGAGCCACACCTCCAGCAGGAAGGCTCTCTTTTTTAAAGAGAAAGTCAAGTAGGGACAATCCCACCCAAGGTCATCTCGCCCTCTTCCCCATTGGAACCTCCCTGAAAGCAGCCCCCAGTGGACCTGGGCCTTCCAGAATTGCCAAGGGAAGCCCAAAGAGTCACCAGTGTTGCCGCCCACTCATGGCTCCTTTCAGGCCTAGCCTGTAGCTCAAGTTGCTCTCCCCTTTAGACTCCTGCCAGGAGGTCAGTCTTAGGTGAAAGCACTTCACCAATACCTTCTCCACGAAAGTCAAGACAGCCAGGTTGGAATTGCTTGCCATTTGATGGAATGAGTCCAGAAAAGGAAGCAATGAAGACGGGATCCGGGAGTCCTCATCAACCAATCACCCCAGCCTACCTTTCACCCTGAGTCCCTACATCCAATAAATTCCACAGACCGCCCTCAGTCCCAACCTTGGTCATTCCAGACCTCTACCTCACTAGGAGAATAGCAATGCCCAGGCAAGGTTTCCAAGCAGCAAGAGCAAGAGAGGAGAAACAGCAGTGGAGAGGAGAGGATGGGCAGAGGTTAGCCGGTGGAGGGCAGCGAGCAGGAGAAGCAAGGGCCAAGGAGAGGGGGCCAGTAGCGCCACCTGGCTAGGTCAAGACTTGTGCACCAACCCCCACCATCTTCCGCACCTCGCCTCCGGTTTAGGGTGGTCAGGGCAAGTAAGTTCGCAGCAGGAATGTTGGGCTCCCCGGGGTCCCCTCAATACCCCCGGGACACAGTGATTCCTTCCTATGCCCCCCCACCCCACCCCCGCCATCCCTTCCGACCGCATCGCTGCCCTTGTCTGCAGGGGTTCTCGGCTATTTGTCTAGGAGCCTACAGGTTCTCCCTAGTTCTCCTGCATGCACTTGCTCCCTAAGTCTAGACCAATTATCCCAGGAGCTGAGGCCAGAGGCACTAAACGCCTGTAGGCGCCCTAATCTGCTCTTGGGTGCCGACTCCCTCTGACCTTGACCTCCTCGCACTTAGCCCTAGCGGGTCTCAGTCCGCATCATCCGGGGCACATTTCTCTAGACAGCTCGAAGATTGCACACAGAAAGTACACACAAGCGGGGCTGGTGAGCCTCCGCGCACACACAGACGGGGCACAGGCACGCACTCACGTAGTCACGCCACGCACAGGCAAGAAAACCCCACTCGGGGCTGACGGGCTGGGCTCAAGGTGCGAGCGTGCAGCCTGGTGTGTCCTCCCCGTCGCCCGCAGCCACTTCGCGTCCGGTCTGGTCCATCTCTCCAAAGGCCCAGCAGGCCAGAGAGCATGCCAACAGGCAGAGCGCGGACAGGACACCGCCGATTCCCGCGGCGCCAACTCACCCAAGAGGCCCAAAAGCCCTCAGCTCCTACTAGACCAGACCGGGGAGTGGATACGGGAATGAGCACCCAGCCGCGAGCCTGACGTCGACGGCCCCTTGGGACCTCTGCGCCCCTGCCCCTCCGAACGCGGGCGCCCCCATCTTCCCTGGATCTGGGTCCAACCCCGAGGGCATGCGCCGGGAACCGAGCCCGTTGCTATGCAATCAATCTCCATCCCGCGCTGGCCACACCGCGCGCCTCCCGGTTCCGAGTCCCGGGACGGTAGTGCGCCCCACCAGGGGCCGAAGCCAACTTCCCATCCCGGGCAGATCTGGACGCAGGATTCGTGTCCCTGCCTGCTCCGGACGTCCAAGCCGTGCACCTCTCACCCCTACCCCCACCCGGCCACCGCCATCCGTGGCTGCTTCCCACGAAGCGCCAACACCCAGCAACCCCAGAATGTGAGGGTGAGGCTGGCTCCCTACCTTTTCCTCTTCGAGCCCTCTTGCCCTCGCACACCTGCCTGCCCTCCACCTGGCCGTCCCCACTCCCCACGGGCTCTGCTCCTTCCCTAGGCGAGGCTGCGCCCGTGGCCCCAGCGGCCCGGAGGCCCTACCTGAAGCATCACTTTGTACTGCTCCTCCGGTTTCTGGACCACGCACATATTACATCCCATGGTGCTGGCCGGCGAGGGAATGAGGAGGGCGGGAACGGGGAGACGTCTTTCACTGGCCCGTGCGCGGGACCTCGGGTCCCGGGCCGGGGCCGGGGGCCATACCCTAGCGCGGCGGGAGAGCCGCCTAGCAGGGGAGGGGGGCACGCCCCCAAAGGAGGGGCCGCTCCACGCCCCTCGGCTTAACTCTTCGCTGGCCAAGGCCAGGCCCGGGCATGCTCCCTCGCGCCCGGCCAGGAAAAAAAGGGCAGCGGGGGATGGGCGGGCGCGCGGGGCGTTGCCTGGCTACGGCCCCCCAGGAGGCGCGGGGGCGCGCCTGGCCGCCAGGGCCGTCAGGGGCCGTGGGCCGCGCGCCTCCCGCCTGCGGGGTCCGCCGCTGCCGCTGCCGCTGCCGCCTCCGGCTCCCGCCCATGGCCGCCAGTCCCGGGAGCCCAGCCTTTGAGCTCGGCGCCGCGGTCCGGCCCGCCGACAGCGGGGGGCGGCGGCGCGGCGGCGGCCCCCGCCCGCGGCCAGGCCCGCGCCCGCTCTCCCGCCTCTCCGGGCCCCGCTCTCGGCGCTCCCGGCGCCCGCTCTCTGGCCCGCAGCCGGCCGGCTGTCTCCAGCTCCTGCCTGGGACGACGGGCACGCGCGCGCGCCCGCAGCTGCGGCGGGGGAGGTGTGCGGGGACCGGGCGCACGCGCGCGGGGGGAAGGGAGCGGGGCTGGGTGCGGGCGGGAGCTGCGGGGGGCCGCGGGAGTCGGAGTGGGATGCCGGGGGCGGGGCCTTGATGGAAGCGGGCTGAGGCTCCGTGTGACGCCCCCATGCCCTGTCCCGCGGCGCTCAGCGGACCTGTCCTCTGCTCGAAGACGGGGTCCTGTTTGGAGGAGACGCCTCCCCGATTCCCTAGAGAGAGTTGGGGCTTCGGGAGGGGGACAGTATTTCAGCCCTGTCCCCTGGTCCTGGATGCACCAGCCCGAACGGCCCTACTCCCCTCTGTTTTCTCCTTATTGAGTGACTCCCTCCTTCAACTGAGCCATTCCCTTGCCGTCTTTGAAATGGACACCTTTGTTTAGAGAAAAGCAAAAGGAAAGCGTGGAGAGTGTAGGTGGCGAGGAGAGCAGTCCAGGCAGCCTCGGATGCCTCGGGGTCCTCCTGTGCACCGGACTGGCTGGCCTGGGGCCGCTGCTACCTGCTTCTTCAGCCCCAGCCCGCACTCCTGCACACCGCGTTAACAGTCCCTCCATCTCTTCCTCTTCCTCTTCCCTCCCACGGCCTGCCCCTCTTGGGAAAGCTTTGAGAGAGAGAGCCTCTGCCTGGAAAGCAGCTTTAGCTCCAGGCTTTGGCAAATGAGGGAAGCCTTAACCACACAGGGACGTGTAATTAGCAGCGTTGGCCATGGCTCCTTCCTCCAAGGCCTTTCCTTTCCTCCCCCACTCCTGCTTTAAGGGGCAGAAATCAGGAATGGTGGGTCCACCTAGAATCTAAGGAAAAGGGCCCGAGTGGAGTGCTTTATGAGGAGTTTCTCATAGAAAGCAGAACTTGACACAAGGGCTGATATGCACGTTGCAACCTGTTACCAAATGGCCAGCTGGTCTGCTCATTGAGAGCTCAGCATAGGTCTCTGGCTGATGGCTAGGAAGCTGAGTAATGGCAGTATCTAGCCCAGCCGTAGGGAGAGGAGACCCCTGCTGTTGGGTCCAAGCAAAGCCCCCAGCCCTTCCTATGCCACTGCTGACAGACTGTTCCCTCTGCCCTGTACCTTGCTGCATTCCTCGGCAGTGAATGCTCCCCTGAGCATGAGGCCTGGGGCTGCACAGAGCAGTCAAGCCATTCTCCATGGCGTCTGAGGACCTTTATCCCAGGCCATCTCTCCCTCTACAAAGTGAACAAGGTGGGATTCTACTCACTGGGAGGGTTTCCCCTCACCCACATCCCTTAGACACCTTGAGTGGGGCCACAGTGTGGTGGCAGCCTGTTTTTCCAGTCCTGACATAAGGTAACCCGCGGAAGAACTGGATCTGAGTTCCTGTCAGTTGGTCACAGGGAGCCCCGACCTGGGTGCCCATAGCTGTGAACTGTGGGGGAGTGCCAGTGCAGTAGAGGCAAGGACGTGTGGAGCTGGACTACCCCTTCACTTCCCTTCCCTTACTGTGCCTCTGATCCCAGCTGGGCCTAGGCCTGAGTGTCTGGTGCCCTGGGATGGCTGCTGTGCAGGGACTTGGGAAGTCTGACCCTGCTCAGCTCCTGGTGGGCAGCTACAGTCACATTGGCACTTGATGTCCCATGTCAGGCTCTAATCCTTCACCTGGGCCCAGCAGCATAGCAGCAGCTGCTGTTAGATGATGAGTGGCTCTGCGACATTCTCTAGACCTTCACAAGTCTGTGCTGACACGCTTCTCTTGAGGCTTCCCAGGGGCCCACACAGCACGTTGGCGTACCATGGACAGATCCCCTCTGTACCATTAGGATGGCCAGGTCTTTCAGTCTCTAGCAGCAGAGCAGTTCGCGCTGGACCTCCTGCAGGGCCTGTTCTTGGTTTTGGCTCCACTCACAGTTGGCTGCCCCTGTGTATCCCAAGTCCTGCTTGATGAGACATTAACCAATTTAATGACCTACCCAACACCATGCCAAATAAATCCCCCCAATTTTTTTTTTTACTAAAATTAGAGTCAGTTTCTCTCTGCAGTCAAAAAACCCTAACAAATGTAAAGCCTTAGGAGAGTGTGGGGGAGGAAAAACATCAGGGGTGGTCAGCTGACCCAGGCACAGCTACGTGGCTCTGAGCCAAGCAAGGAGGAGGATAGTATAAACACACTCTGGCATGGCATGCTGATGATGGCATAACAGATCGTGTCACCTCCAAGATCCTGAGGGCCCCTGGAGCCAGAATGCCCAGGGGAGTTATGTCCAGATTTCCTACCTGATAGGTCCCCACTGGACCCTGTGTTGATGAAGTAAGTCCCTGCTCTCCATGCCCTGGAACTTTTAGCTGACAAGGACAGCATGCCACTATAGAAGATTCTACTCAGATCCATCTCAGAGAACTGCAAAGAGGCCCTACTGTACTTAGGAGCAAGATGCAGAGGAGCCCACTCTTCTCACTATTTTTTTTTTCACTAAATATTCAGTCCCTGGTCCCTATCCCAGCCCTGTCAGATACTCAGTTGGGAACCTCTGTTTCCCAGGAATCACTCATGACCTTGGCCACTGGCTTCTCCAGAAAGGAATTCTCAGGGAAGCTGAGGCTAGATCACCCAGAAACTGCCCAGCTTCTTTACTCCAGGAGCGTGGACCCTAGCGTAATGGGGTTGCCATCATTTTCATGGATCAGGCTGTTATTGTTGTACTGAAAAAAAGTCATTACCAAATCCTAGGTCACCTAGACCTTCCCCAGTGTTACCTTCTTGAATTTTACAGTTTTGTGTTTTACACTTAGGTCTATGATCCATTTGAGTTCAGGTTTGTGAAAGGCATAAGGTCTATGCTTCAGTCTGTGTGGGCTGCTATAAAAAATGCCTTACTGTGTAACTTATAAACAAGAGATTTACTTCTCACAGTTTTGGAGGCTGGAAAGTCCAAGTCATGGCGCCAGTAGATTTGGTGTCTGTTGAGGGTCTCTTGCATCAATGGCATCTCCTCCTGGCCTCCTCACATGGTGGAAAAAGCAGAACAAGGCAGCACTCTAGAGCCTTCTCTGCTGTTTTGGTTTTGGAGAGGTGGGTGCACAGGATTGAACCCAGGCCCTCACACATGCTGAGCACATTCTCTACCATGGAATGACACCCTTGTCCTGGAGCCTCTTTTATGTGGGCACTGATCCCACTCCCCAGGGTGGAGCCCTCATGCATAATAACCTCCCAATGGCCCCGCCTCTCCCTACTATCACCTTGGTAGGTAGACTTCTGTATAGGAATTTGGGAGGGACACAGACATTCAAGCCATAGTAGTCTGTACCTAGATTGTTCCTTTTTCATGTGGATGTCCAGTTGTTCTAGCACCATTTGTTGAGAACTTTCTTCATTGAATTGCCTTTGTTCCTTGGCTGTTCCAGAACAACTCAGCCCATGTATGAGACCTGGCTGCAAGGGGCCATGAGACCAAAGAAAGAGACAGACAATCCAGAATTTCACAGAGTGCAATTTATAAGGGGACTTACTGACAAAAGTGGGTGGCAGCAAGACCAAGTGGATCCCTACGATTTGGACCAGAAAAAGGGATATATATATATTGGTTAAGATGAAGTGACTTCATCCAAGCCAGAATGTACCTGGTTTATCTTAAGCTAGAATCAAAGAGCCAGGCACATTTCCTGGCACCAGGATGGGTTGTCCACATGCCTTTGTGTGGTCTTGTCTGCTTATAGTTTTCTGGGAAACTGCACAGGAAAATCTGACTAGCAGGAAAATACTCTGGAGCAATCATTGTGTTACAACTGAAGACAGCTGCAGGCATACCATACTGAGTCCATACTTTAGTCAAAGGCCAGCGGACGCCAGGAACGGTGGCTCTTACCTCCAATCTCAGTACCTTAACCTCACTGGAGGCTGAGGCAGAAGGATCGCGAGTTTAAGGCCAGCCTGGGCTACATAGAGAAACCCTGTCTCAAAAAAAGGGGAAAAAAAGATGAATTGAACTATATTTGTTTCCATCTATTTTTGCTGCTACTCCATTTTTAAAAACTGGAAATGCTATTGATGATGCAGAGGAAGCAAATGGCGGAGGGCCAAGGGAGCTTTGCATGTTCTTTATGAGAAATCAGAGGAACACTGCATTTACTTTTTTTTTTTTTTTTTTGTGGTACTAGGGCTTGAAGTCAGAGTCTACACCTTGAGACACTCCACCAGCCCTTTTTGTGATGGGTATTTTCAACATAGGGTCTAGCGAACTATTTGCCCAGGCTGGGCAATCCTCCTGATTTCTACCTCCTGATCTCCACCCATACCTGACTGAATTTGGTTTTCTAGTGGCTGTGCTGGGGCTTGAACTTAGGGCCTCACACTTGCTAGGCTTGCTCTTCACCACTTGAGCCACTCTATCAGCCCTGTTTATGTATTGGGTTTTTTGAGATAGGGTCTCCCAAACTATTTGACTTGGGCTAACTTTGAATCCACTACCCTCCTGATCTCTGCTCCTTAAGTCGCTAGGATTACAGGTGTGAGTCACTGGTACCTGGTGTCTTTTCTGCCATATTACTCAATGTCCATCAACATTTGTCCACACAGGCTCTCTTTCATTTGTTTCTTTTTTACTTAAAAAAATAAGCCAGGCTGGGCACCCCTGGTGGCTCATGCCTACAATTTTAGCTACTTGGAAGGCTGAGATCTGGAGGATTGTGGTTCGAGGCCAGCTCAGGGGAAAAATAGTTCCTGAAATCTCATCTCCAAAAATAACCAGAGCAGGATGTGAGGGTGATCTGGCTGCAACATCTGTGACCCAATTGATCACCAGGGTTGGTTCAGCTGATCTGGCTGAGTAGGTGGGTGTCCCCTTCCTCCCTCACCACTCCACGTGCATCCCTCCCAAAGCTGTGCACTCAGTCAAAGAGGACGACCACTCCTGTTAGAGGAGGACCATTCTTTGGTCAAGGGTACAGGAGTAGCCGTGCTCCCTTGCTAGGACCTCCAAACAAGCTCTCAAATATAACCAGAGCAAAAATGGACTGGAAGTGCGACTCAAGCAGTAGAGCGCCTGCTTTGCAAAGCCCTGAGCTCAAACCCTAGTCCCACCAAAAAATAAAATAAATAAATAATAAGCTAGGCTGGGTAGGTAGCTGCCAAAAAGAGGGGGGAAAAGCCTTCTCTACTTTAATGTCAGAATGTTAGTCCTCTACATTTTCTTTTAAGAATTTTAGCAAGTACAAGGTTCTGGATTCAATCCCAAGTACCACAAAAAATAAGAAAGAATTTTAAAAAATCTCCTTTTTAGCATAAATCCTTAATCCATTTGGAAATAACTTGTGTGTAAAATGTACTGAATGATTCTTCCCCTTATGAATCACCTGTGTTTCCTTCTCCGAATCATCCTCTTTCCTTTCTGGTCCTCCTCACCCCCTTGCCACATAATAAAGGTCCAGCTTTCTGGGGGGCTTTTAAGTTCTATTTGGTCCCACTAGTGAGTTCATCTGTTCTCACACTACGGTGAGGTGAGGCTTTGTTATTTGCAGTAGCTTTATAAAAAGTCTTATCATTTGCCAGGCAGGTCCCCCTCATGCATCTTCTCCAAGCTGGATTACCTAGTCTTGACCTTTACTCTACTAGATACATCTTAAAATTAATTCTTCTCCTCCTCCTCCTCCTTTTTCTCCTCCTTTCCATTCCATTCCCCATCCTTCTCCTCCTTTTTTATGGACAGGGCTTCACTATGTAGTACCCCATGCTGGCCTAGCACGCCTCACAATCCTCCTGCCTTAGCCTCTGAAGGACCAGAATCACAGGCGTGGACCCCCATACGAGATACCACACCAAACTTGGAATTAACTTTTCAATAGCTCAAAAATTCCTGTGGGGACGTGGATTGGAACAGCATTGAATCGCGGCACACTTTGCAGAGAAGGTGACATTATCTTAGCAACTCTCCCAGCATCAAGGTTCACTTATTCAGTCTTTTAACATGTGTTGAAAGGCTGGGGGTGTGGCTCAAGTGGCAGAGCCCTTGCCTAGCAAGTGGGAGCCTCTGAGTTCCAACCCCAGGATTGCCAAAAGATGTGTTCATATTTTCTGCACATATTTTATTTCACTTATTTCTGAGTATTTTGAACTTTTTGTTACTAGTGAATGCGTTTTTTTTTTTTTTTTACAAAAGTACATTTTCTAACTATTTGTGGGTGGCTTTTTATGGT